TGTGGGAAGAGAAGGCAAGGTTGTGAGGGGGAAGAAGGGGTTGTGGGGAGAGAAGGAGAGGTTTATCATATCATACCATATATACACACATGCATAACATATCAACTGACAACGTGGAATCGAGTGGCACTAAGGTAACCCAGCAATGGCGAGCAGCCCTGCCAGCTCAAGACATTGTCTCTTCTCACACGCGATCGTACGCACCTGCATGTGAGCGGTAATTGACGACTTGTAGGGGAACGCGGCGCCGCACTTGGTGCACACGTAGGGTCGCTCGCCCGTGTGCAGCCGCTTGTGCTCCATCAGCTTGCTCGGCGTCGGAAACCCCTTACCGCACTCCTCGCACGCGTGCCGCCGCTGCGCGTTCCGCCGCCGCTCCTGCGCACTCACCGCGGCAGCGGCGGTGGCGCCCCCTGCTGCCGACTGCCGCGTCTCCGCCTGCAGCTGACGCGCAAAGTCCACGTCGTACATCTCGTGCTCGTCCTCCTCGGCAGCAGTGGCGCCCTCTGCTGGAGGCACCTCGGCGTGGTTCGCCAGCGCCCCCACGTCTCCCTCGGCGGCGGGGGCGGCGGCCTCGGCGGCCGTGATGGCGGCGGCTAGCCGCTCCTTCTCGTCGCGTTCTCGCTTCAACTCGAGGTCGTAGTCCGTCGGGCGCTTGTGCGTCTTCGACACCTCGACCGCTAGCGCCATCGTGCGGGGGTCGACGACACCAAAATCGTCGTCGTCGTCCTCGCCGGCGGCCGGGGCAGCGTCTTCGTCGTCGTCGTGGCGGATGAAGTGCAGTGGCATGCCTAGCGCCTTCTCGTGCATCTTCATGTGCACGACGACCGAGCTGCGGTAGGGGAAGCGCAGGTGGCAGAGGCCGCATTCGTAGGGCCGCGCGCCCGTGTGCTGGTTGCGGTGCTCGGCGAGCTTGCTCGGGGACGGGAACCCCTTCTCGCACTCGCCGCACTCGTACCACGGACCCTTCGGCGGCCGCTTCTGCGGCATGGCGGCGACGTAGCGGCGGCGGCGCGAGGCCGTGCGGCTGCTGCGACGCGTCGGCTGCGGCGTGGTGCCGTCCCCCGCTGCCGCGCGCTCGCCTCCCCCCACCGCCGCTGCTGCCGCTGCGAGGGAGCCCGCGTATGCTTCCGGATGCTTCTTCTCCATGTGCTGCCGCAGATGGTTCTCGTATCTGGAGAGAGTGGAGGATGTCGGCATGCCGCAGAAGATGGTCACGATGTGTGTGTGTGTGTGTGTGTGTGTGTGTGTGTGTGTGTGTGTGTGTGCGTGCATGCGTGCGTGCATGTGTGTGTGCGTGCATGCATGTGCATTGCGTGCATACGTGCGTGCGTGCTTGCTTGTTTCGTCGTACATGAATGTGTACATGCGTTTATAAATAGGAGTTACGTATTACAAAGTATAACTATTTAATTATGTTAAGTAACTGATAGTGGATCCTTGTGTAATAGCCACCTGCATGCTCTCATAATAGCACAAGAATATCCAAACAGAATTAAAAGGGTACAGGCACGACCCCAGGACACCTGCCGCATGCAAAGAGAGAGATAGAGAGAGGGAGAGAGAGAGAGGGAAGGAGGGAGAAGGAGGGAGAAAGGGAGAGAGAGATGGAGAGAGCGAGAGAGAGAGAGAAAAAGAGAGAGAGGGAGAAAGGGAGAGGGAGAGAGAGAGAGACAGAGAGAGAGACAGAGAGAGAGAGAGAGAGAGAGAGAGAGAGAGAACGAGAAAGCGAGAGCGAGAGAGAGACAGAGAGAGAGACAGAGAGAGAGAGAGAGGGAGAGAGACAGAGAGAAAGAGAGAGACAAAGAGAGAGAGAAGGAAGGAGGGAGAGAGAATAAGAGCGAGAGAGAGAGAGAGAGAGAGAGAGAGAAAGAGACAACGAGAGCACTCTCAGTCTCACGCTTGGTTGCCCGTGGCAACGCTGCGTCGCATCCCCCCCCCCACGCACCTGAACGACATGTTGCACACGGAGCAGATGAACGGCCGTTCCCCCGTGTGCGAGCGCATGTGAATCTTAAGCTTGCTGGGTGTCGCGCATGGCCGCCGGCACTCTGCAAGGCAATTACACGCGCGCATAATTAGCAATTAATCGCGACGGGCGCTAACGAGCGCCACCCATGAATTTTTAGCGAGCGGCGAACGAAGAAGCCATTGTTGCTTCTCTACAGCGAAAACTTGGGAGGCCATTATCAGAAACATCCTATATTACCACGTATTGCTACGATATACTAATATGTTATGTAGTATACATATATTATACATACAATGATACATACGTACAATACTACATAAATTACGACTACAGTTAGGGTTACGTTCGATTCCGGTTATGTCTGTTTGGATTTTATACAATCAAACATGCGAGAAGTCCCATCTATAGAACAGACACCCGTCTAAAAAGGACACTAAGCATTTCCCTCGGAAAGCAATCACAATGTGAACCGCCCTCTCGGAAAACTCCTCCCCCTCGATCGACCCTCGCAAACAGGTTTCGACTGCCCCCCCCCCGAGCGCCCGTCGGTTACCACCAGGGGGCGCCGGCGAGAGACTCACCCGTGCATATGTACTGCTCCTGGCGTGTGGACGGCGAGCCGCGCTTGGACGCGCGCTGCGGTGCAGTGCTGATGATCTTCGGACCCCGGCGGCGGCCGCGCTGCTCATCCGCCTGCTGCCGGTTACGCGCATGCATCAACAGGTGAGAGCTGCCGAAAGACGGTGACGGGAAAAACAAAAATAAGATTTGTGCCATACTGTTAACGGAAGGACGCACGGACGCTCATACGATTTTACAAGCTGCATCTGACTATTTTTACAAATTCAGCATGGTGTCTACATGCTCGGGTGTGCTTGTGTGGAGATACCTTTTATGTTGAATATTAGATTTGCTTAGTACATATAATGTATTGCCTACAGATTTATATAATGTGCAGTGCTACAATTTGTAAAAAAAAAAGAATGGGAAAGATCAATACATTTTTTTGAGTCGGGCTTTTTTTGGAGTGTCGGTCGGGTGAGGGCAAACAAACAATATTTTTATTATGGCCTTATGTTCTTATAAAAATTGCCAATGCCACGCTGCATGCTCACCGCATCGAGCTGTAGTAGGGGAAGTTGGCGCCGCAGTCCTGACACTGGTACGGCCGCTCGCCCGAATGCTTGCGCTTGTGCACGTCCATCTGGTACGGCGTCGCGCACACCTTGCCGCACTCGTCACACACGTGCCTCTTGCGCGGCGGCGCAGCCACTAGCGCCCTCTCGCTCGCGTTCGCCGTCCGATTTCGCAGACTCCGCTTCGGCTGATCCTCGAAGATGTTGCCTTCTGCTTTGCGCTTGGTGGGCTGAGGAGAACATTATTTAAATTTTTACTGTTTAGTAACATTACTATATATACACAGGAAATATGCCAAAAAACGTGAACAATCAACCCACAATCAACCTACGAAATTCTTCGTAGGGTAAATGCTACAAGTATTAAAAAAGCCAAGAAGTAGTGCTGTGTAACAACAACCACCTCCAGCCACTTGCTGTTCTCGTACATATGCCTAAAGTTGCAAAATAGTCTTTCCAGATCTAAACGCTACTAAACCATCTAACTTACTGAAGGCACGCCTGGCCATCGCAAAACCTTTACTCCCAGTTAAAAACATTGCTCAGCGAAGACACATCTCCCCACCGCAACACATTCACTTCTAGTTACGAACGCTGCTAAACCACATCACTCACCAAAGCCAAGCCTGCAAGGCAGACTCATGTGTGAGCGAGAGAGGTGGGAGGCAGACTCATGTGCGAGCGAGAGAGACAGACAGGAGGCAGATGCACTGAGTAAGAGAGGCAAGAGGTTTATCCAGGAGTGACCTATAGGAAAAATCTACTCAAGGAATGGTAAAGTGTCCCTTTTTATAAATAGGTGTCCATTATATAGCATTGTCCATTAACAGAGCTTTAAATGTATATATATATACAGTCTATTATTCGAAACCTATCTTCAGTATTATTCAAAACCTTCTTGGGACCAGACACGTTTCGGAATTCGGAATGGTAGTACAGTACAGATATACATACAGTATATATCCTGCAACTAGCCTGTACTAAAACCCAAGTTTTCAAGAGGCCAGGGAAGTGCTGTCCTGGTACAGTACAATATGTATGAGTACTGCCAAACACATTAATCATATAATATTTCTGCAGTGAACCTTGTGCAGCCAAACGCGAGCTTTGGTGTGCAGACGACCTCCGAAAAAAAACTTTTGGTTTTCGGAGCTTTTCCGTTTTCAGAATTTCGGATAATAGACTGTGTACTGTATATATACATATATATATGTGTACATGTTAATAGCAATAGTGGTATGACGTGATCGCACGCACCCGTGTGCTTCACCATGTGGTCCTTCAGCTTCGACGGCGTGCGGAAGCCCTTGTCACAGACGCTGCACACGTACGGCCGGAACGAGACTCCCGTCTCCTTCTCGGCGTGCCACTGCAGGTGCGTGCGCAGCGAGCCGCGGTATGGAAAGCTCTTCGCACACAGGTGGCACTCGTACGGTCGCTCGCCCGTGTGCGAGCGCATGTGCGAGCGCAGCTTGCTCGGCGTACGGAACGCGCGCGCGCACTCGGGGCACGCGTGCACGCGACCCTCGGCGTTGCCGTCCTGCGGCGACGCGTCCGGGTCATCGTCGTCGTCGTCATCGTCGTCGTCGTCGCTCTCTTCCTCGTCATCATCTGCCGCCGCGGCGACGGCGGCAGCAGCGGCGGCGTCGTCGGGGTAGAGCGACGGGTTGTTCTTCATGTTCTCGAGATTCTGCTCGTAGCGCTGTCTCGCCTCGCGCGCGTGCACCTGCGGAGGAGAAACACGGGAAGGTCAGCACGGGGTGAGAGGGGAAAGTGTGGGGGGAGAAGGGGAGGGGATAAAGGAAGGTTGTGGGGAAGAAGAGGTTGTGGAGGGGGAGGTTGTGGGGGAGGGGGAGAAGTGCGTTGTGGGCGATAGGGGGGGGGGGGGGTTTTGAGGGAGGGTTGTGGGGCCGAAAGGGGGGTGAGGGTTGTGGGACGGAAGGAGGAGGAAGCAGATTCGTGAGGGGAAGAAGAAGGGTTGTGGGAGGAGATAGGAGCAGTTTATCATATCATACCATATTATACACACATGCATAACAATATCAACTGACAACGACGTGGAATCGAGTGGCACTAGGTCAACCCGCCCCCCACCAGCATGGCGAGCAGCCCTGCCAGCTCAAAGACTTGTCCTCTTCTCAACACGGCGATCGTAACCCGACCTGCATGTGAGCGGTAATTGACCGACTTGTAGGGAAACGCGGTCGCCGACACAAACCTTGGTGACAGTCACGTAGGGTCGCTCGCCCGTATGCAGGCGCGGGCGTTGTGACTCATCAGCTTGCTCGCGTCGAAACCCCTTACCCGCACTCTCGGCACGCGTGCCGCCCGCTTCAGCGCGCGCCGCCCGCCGCTCCTGCGCACTCAACGCGGCAGCGGCGGTGCGCGCGCCCTGCTGCCCTGACTGCCGCTTTCCGCCTCTCAGCTGAACGCGCAAAGTCCCCGTCGTCACATCTCGTGCTCGGTCCTCACTCGGCAGCAGTGGCGGCCCTCTGCTGAGGCACCCTCGGGTTGGTTCGCCAGCGCCCCTACGTCTCCCCTCGGCGGCGGGGGCGGCGGCCTCTGCGGCCGTGATGCGGCGCGGCTAGCAGCTCTTCTCGTCGCGGTTCTCGGCTCACACGAGGTCGTAGTCCGTCGGGCGCTTTGTGCGTCTTCGAACACCTCGACCGCTAGCGCCTCGTGCGGGGGGTCGACGACACCAAAAAATCGCGTCGTCGCCCTGGCCGGCCCGCGCCGGGGCAGCGTCTTCGTCGTGTCGTGGCGGATGAGAAGTGGCAGTGGCATGCCTAGCGCTTCTCAGTGCATCTTCATAGTGCACGACGACCGGCTGCGTAGGGGAAGCGGCAGGTGGCACGAGGCCGCAGTCGTAGGGCCGCGCCGGCCGTGTGCTGGTTGCCGGTGCTCGCCGAGCTTGCTCGGGGACGGAACCCCTTCTCGCACTCGCCGCACTCGTACCACCGGACCCTCGCGGCCGCTTCTGCCGGCATGGCGGCGCCGTACGCAGGCGGCGCGAGGCCGTGCGGCCTGCCCTGCGGACGCGCGCTTGCGGCGTGGGCCGTCCCGATG